GATAGATTCTGCGCTTACCGATGACAGCGTAACTCCACGAAGGGCAGTGGAGACGCACTGCTGTGAAGCAATGCAACTGGACACGTCTACACATGCAATTCATTTGTAGCAATAAACTCCAGCGCATATTGTGTCGGAGTTTATTGCTCCAGGGTGCGCTATTTGAACGTGTGCCCAGGACCACAGCATGTTGAGTTGGATCAGAGAAGCCCCAGCTGGCAGGAGCCTGGTGGGGGGTGAGTCTACCAGCCTGGGGCTGCTCCAGCCCAGCTCACTGTGCTGTGAAGGGGCTGGTGAGGCTAGCCAGCAGACAGCCTCTGCACTGAAGCATCCTTGTGCCCTGGCCAGCCCTGTCAGCATCTACACGTGTGTTGCTGGGCATGAAAAAACTCTAGAGGTGGATGGTACTTGTATTTACAAGTACTACCATGCTGCGGAGTTTCTTAGTTTCCTGCAGTCTACTAGGCCTGCATGTGTAGATGCTGAGATGTTTAATGTGGAGCTACTTGGGCAACTCTGCAGTAAATGTCTCATTTAGATACACCCACTGATACAGAAACTGAGCCCAAAGGACCAAGTCCGCCCCACTTGAATACGTACCATGAGGAGCACTGAGGCAGTGTCTTGCTCTCTTAACCTACGATGGTGACCTAGGCTGGACAGCATCTCTGCTTTCTTTTGCATTACTGTTTTTAGCCTTTGTGGTTGTCAAGTTAACCTGACAAACCTTCCTGAGTCTGCAGGCGGCCTGAGACAGTCATGGGAACTCCTCTGTTCCCTCTTAAAGGATCATATGAATTGTCACACTGGGTCAGACCAAACATCCATCTAGCACAGTGCCTGTCTCTGAGGGTGGCAAGTAAGAGATATTTTGTAGGGAGAAGACATGAAGCAGGCGTACATAAAGTGATCCATCCTATATTGGATCTTCCCAGTTTCCAGCAGGTGCGGTGTTGGGGCTATCTTGAGTCCACAGCTCTGACTGCTGTGTTTGATAGCTCCTGATAGACCTGTCTTTCATAGAAGTGTCTAATCCCTTTTTGAACCTAGCTGCCCTTTCCGCCTCTGCAACATCCTGTGGTGACAAGTTCCACAAGTTAATTATGCGTTGTATTTAAAAAAAAAAAGGCTTCCTTTTTATTTGTATTAAATCCATCACCCGAGACCTTTGAGTGCCCCTTGCTGCCTGCGTTATGAGATGGCAGGATTATTAATCTGGGGTGCGGTCTGTCAGAGCCAGTGATCTGACTCCCTTCCACCTCAGTCTTAACCCTCTCAGGGCTGATGGGGTTTAGTGGCTATAAGAAAGAAGGAAAAAGAAATCTTCAAAAAGGCCACTGCTGTTGTGTGCCTTTGACACAGCTATCGGTGAAAGTGCTGTGAGTTACCAATTGAAGCCACTGAGGCCTCTGGTTTTCGGAGGCGCTCACCGCTTGAGTTCGCCCTTATTTCAGGTGGAGCTGTAGGTGCTCAGCAGCTCTGGACACAGACTTCTCTGGGGGTTTCAAAATGATGCCAAAACACCATGGCTCCCCACGATAGTAAAACCTGTTCCCAAATGTAGGTGAGGTACAGTCATACACGAAAAAGATGCCGTCTTCCTCTTAGTTGCTTGGCACCTTGTGGAGTCACTTTCTCCTGCACAAAGTGCATGCATGCGAAAGAAACCTTTCATTTGGGCGTCTTCATTGCAAGGCAGCAGAAATCATTTTTGATTCAAGGCAGGGATGAGGCTTGACATTTGATTCTTGCCAGATTAAAAAACCCCAAATGCCTCCTTTGTTTATTAGACATGACTGAAGCTGTTGGAGCTCATGGAGAAATGGAGTAAGGTGCCATCGTGCTGGTGAAGAAAGCAGGCAGGGAAGATGTGGAGACAAGTTCAGAAACGGGGACTAGGAGGAGGTGTTAGGTTGCGTGCCAAGGGTGGACGTGTGTATGGCATGGTGTGATTAACCTTTGAGATGCTGGCGGGGAGAGGTGGGAGAAGGAAAGCAACCAGGAGAGCGATGGGTGCAAGGTAAAGCTGCCAGCTCCCAGTGGTGCAGTGCAGCATCAGTATGGACAGGCCTCCAAAGCACATGCTCCTATCCTGGCTTAAATCCCTTTGAAGTGGGTTTCTAATCTGAACGGGGCGAGGGTGCGGCATCCACCGCAGGGCTTTGACACCTGCCGCACGTCAGGTTAGTGGCACTGAGGAAGCGTTTCTCTCACAGCCCCATCTTGAGACCTTCTTACCCCCAGGGACCACCGCAAACCGAGCCAAGCCTTACACAGCACCACCGCATTTGGCCCGTCAGCTTCCTTGCTGAAATGACAGCATCGCTTCCTTAAGGGTGGAGGGGGGGAAGCCCAAAGTAAAAAAGAGCAGCTTCATTTCCTGCTGCACTTTCCTTTTGCCCCAGCGCTGAGCACGCAGCCATTGCTCAGGCCCGGACCCACTTTTAGGTCCGAGCTCACAACGTGTAATTGTGTTCAGGGCCAAACACAGGGAGCGGAGATCTGGGGTGGGCTGCCTGCCTGTCACACAACAAAGGCTCAGAAAGGGTGTTGCCTCCTTTCGACATCCTCCTCCAGAACCACTCGATCTGGTTGCGTGGTAACACAGTGATCGTGCACAATTTACCTCCCCACCCTCCTCCCTTTTAACTCCCAGTCACCACAACTGGCCTGATTCGACTTGCACAGGTCTTTTGGTGGATGCCAGATGAGCAGATGATGTTGGTGTGGTTATTTCCTGGACTAGTTGAAGAAGAAAAAAAAAAAGAAAGAAAGCAAGAGAAGAAAACCGGAGCAGAAGTATTCTGGGATCTCTGGCATGATGGCTCTCTCCCCTCTGCAGACCGGTAGCAGTGTCAGGGGGCTCTGTGGCAAATTTTGGGTAGTTGAGAAAACAGGCAATCCTCCTTCCTAAATGTAGCAAGGAGTGAAAGAGTTGTTGTGTTGACACAGAAAGTCATTTGCAGCCCAGAAGCAAAATGACTGAGAGATGGAATGTCATTTTTTTTCATTCTCTCTCTCTCAAATGTCCATTACTGCAGTGTGCGAGGGCCTCATCCTGCCCACAGAAGCATATAAGCCACCTCATTTCTATTTGGAGTCCTGTGAGTTGTGAGAGAGCAAAGTTACTTGTGCGCCTGTTGTCAGGATCGGGCCCTAAGATAATATCTACGCACACCCACGCACAAAGGCACCCGCAGCCACATCTTATTGCTATCTTTTAAATGGTTCAAGTTAAACACACATGCATGCGTGCGCGCACACACACATGCCTATACCCACAGTTGCTTCTTATTGCTATATTTTAAATGGTTCAGGTAAAACACGCATGCACGCACGCACACCCCCCCCACCTGTATCTCATTTTATTTTAAATGGTTCAGGTAAAACACACATACACACACACTCACAGCCTCATCTTATTGCTATATTTTAAATGGTTCAGGTAAAACATGCATGCATGCACGTGTACACACATACATGTGCACGCGCACGCCCGTACCCACAGCTGTATCTTATTGCTATATTTTAACTGGTTCAGGTAAAACATGCATGCATGCACACCCCCCCACCCACAGCTGTATCTTATTGCTATATTTTAACTGGTTCAGGTAAAACACACACACACACACACACACACACACACACACACAGAGCCATATCTTATTGCTATATTTTAAATGGTTCAGGTAAAATGTGCAGGCATGCGCCTGCGTGTACACACACACACGCATGCCCATACCCACAGCTGTATCATATTGCTGTATTTTAACTGGTTCAGGTAAAACACACACACATACACACACACTCACAGCCATATCTTATTGCTATATTTTAAATGGTTCAGGTAAAACATGTATGCACACACATGCACACACGTTTTTCAAATTATATTTCCTTCCATTTGCAACAGTCATTTCAGGGGTTGGGGCTGGGATTGTCCATGGGTGTAATGGAGGTAAGTACACAACTACCACTAGTTGTCTGAGAGTTGGGCACGTTATTCTTTCTGTTCCCTTTTTGGAAAGCCCAGCCTGGAGGTGTAGATGGCAATACCTGCTCTCAGCAGCTCCTGATGGTGCAGAAGAGAGCGGGGTTCTCATATTCAGGTAGCCAGTGTGTCGCACCTGTGCATTACGCTTGTAGTCTAGTAGGTTTAAAATGTCCAGTGACACCACAAATGTCCCTCTGAGCTGACTGGAAATACAATCTCAGTCTCACGTTGAGGGCTGGGGGTCAGGATACGCAGGTTCTGTTCCTGGCTCTGTGACCTTTGCTAATTTACTTTGTTTAAGTTTCCCCAGTGGAAAAATGGGGATGATAATGCACAGTAGTGTCATGGGCCTTAATTCACTAAAAGGGTCCAGAGGGAACGTATGGCTGCTTCATTGTTATCCATAGCACAATAGCACTATTTATTTGACTTGGTGTTTTATTTGCCAGGAGCAGGATTTTGCCTCTGAGTGTTGTGCATGTCTCACTCATGCCCATGGGAGATAGGTCTGCATAATGACAGGAGGCCCTTTCAAGGGTTTAAAGCCCTGGGATGAAGTAAAAAGGTGTTTTGGTACCAAAGCTGGTGAAGTAGCACAAGTGAAAATCTACAGAGGCGAGAAAGAGGGCAACGCCATGTGGTCAGCAAAGATGAGTCTGGGAGGCAGGAGTATAAGTATCAAGGGAGGACAGAGAATCAGGGATACTGCTGTGCCCTGGGCCAAGCCAGACACTGCTGCATCCAACTCGAGGGAGGGAGTACCCATGCTCATTCAGCAGGGATTGTTGTTGGGGGCTCTGTGATGCACATGATGGGATGTAGAGCAACCAGCCACACCAAAGCAAACATGTCTGGGGTGGGCCTGGGGGAAGCAGGGCTGCTGTTGCAGCTGGGCAAATTTTCTCTGGTCCTCTGTGCCCTGGGTAGCAGAGGCATCATGCTGCCTGCAACAGAGCACTTGTATCCCATGGCTTGGGGCCCTGGTCCATCTGCGCACTCATCCCCTGCTCTTCTCAGGTGTCCAATGTGTTGCCCTCTTGCTAAACTGGCCTAGATTTGCCTCTGCCTCTGTCTTGCTTCCCAAGCCCCACTCACTACCTGCCTAAATGAAATACAACCTTCTTCCTATATTCCCTCCCTGTCCCTACCCATTGCAGCTCCTCTGCTTTGCAGCCAGGGGAGACCTACCCCTTCCCTTAGTGTCCTCCCGAGCCCATTCCCATCTCGTGGTGAGGCCTAGCTAGCCTCGAAACCTGCCCCTTCACCCCTTCCCCCCCAAGAAATACATGGTTCAGTCTAAATAATTATAATGAGCGATGCAATAAAACTCTGTTCCTGCTGAAGAACAATGCCAAGGGGAGCCCTTGAGCAATGCCCTTTGGTGGTGCCCACCCCAGGGCAGCCTGTAGTCCTCCCAAAGCCTGCAGAAAGTGAAACCAGTCAGGTTTGCTTCAAAGGTTGCAGGTGAGCAAAATGAGAAAGAGAAAAAAAAAAGTAAATAAATGGTATATCTATAGTGCAAGGCACATCTGATGCTTGAAATCATGTCGGCTGGAATCATCCAAGGAGAGGATGAAAATCTGTAGGATGGAATAAGAAGTTCAACGCATCCTCTAGGAAAGCAGGGCTGGAGGGATGTAGAAGCTATTGCATGATGAGCTTAAAAATGTGAAGGTGAATGGTTTGCTTTTCCTGGGTTTGTAAACCATCTTCTTCTCTTTCTGTCTCTCAAAAAAAAAACATTAGGAAGGCTGAAAAACCTATAGAAAGGGGTCATTCCCCATAAAAACTGGTTGGGTTTTGCTTATGCACAGTGTCTGTGAGAGCCTGGCTGAGCAGCTGTCCCCACCGGGGTAAAACTGACTCACCACTAGAGCCAAGTCAGACAAAAACACCTGTGCCCTGTCTCCAGCTGTAGCTCCTGTCCTGCCATCCCAAATGCAGTAGCACTCAGGGTGAATTATAACTCCTAATTTTCCTGTAGTGGATGCTGCTTTTGGTTCTCCCTTCAGTGGCAGCACCTGGCAGCCCCCTGCTCCGGGGCTTTTGCTGGTTGCTGATAGCAGCTGGGAAGCAGTATTATTCTGTATGTGAATGGTACTGGCTTCTTGAGGGGGCCAAGGGGGAGGATGGAGGTTGCCTTTATCACAGGGATTGGGACATTGGCTGCAGTTAAGGCTGGGGGTTTTGGCTGGAGTGCTCAGATGCTCCTACTGGTACTTAAGGACTCAGGTCCAGTGTCGCTCTTCCTGCGTCATACTGGGCTAATTGACACGAGATGCTAAATGCACAGTAGACTCATTCTACTGCGGCGGGCAAAAGCCACGCCAGTGCACTAATGCGCAGTTGAATTAGTTTACTGAATGTGCTGTAATTAATGAACATGTAGATGTGCCCACTGATCACCAAATTGTGCGTCTGGCAGGAGTTTTCCCAGTAGGTCAGACTGGGCTGAAGGGAAGGTTGCCTTTCTCTGTAGTATGCAGCATGGTCCTTTTCCTAGGAGCCTCTGAGCATATATTATTCAACTGCTTCCTTGCCATTGCTGTGGCAGGGTGTTGCGTTTACCTGTGGTATGCTATAGGTATGTCAGGTTTTGTGCCTTGTAGTTGTGTAGGCGGGCTTGAAATGATGATTTTGGGGGATGTCTTGGGGAAATGATTGCCTGTGAATGCAGCGCTGGTCCAGGAGGCTTGTTGTGGTCTCAGTTTCTCCTGTCCAAGCCCCACATGTCCCTGCGTGGCCATGCAGCACATAGCATTTCAGGTTCAGACCTCCACTGGGACCTCCAGCTGCTTCTGCATAATAGAAATGACAGGTAACACCACCAGGTCATAACAGTCATAGGGTTGGGGAGGACTGTCTAGATTAGCCCCCTGCCCAAGTGCAGGATTAGCAATTTCTAAAGCATCCCAGGCAGATACCGGTGACGAAGAGGTCACAGCTTCCCCGGGCAACATTTTCTATTGCCCTGCTGCTCTCACAGCTAGGAAGCTTTTCCCGAGATGTGACAATGTCTGCTTTGCTGCCGTTTAGACCCACTGCCTCGTGTCCCGCCCTCGGTGGCAAAGGAGAACAAAGTTTCTCCATTGCTTTGATAGCCCTTTTCAGCTAATTCAGGAATGTCTTTGCTTTGGAGACTTTTAGATGATTTCTGAGCACTTTATGAAGATTTTGAAAGTGGGGGAAGAAGTTTGATTTAAATGAGGCCAGGCTCTTTTTATCTTAAAAGATTATGAAAGTGGTACCACGGAGCTGTAGGAAACTTTAGTTTTTCTTTCAAGTCCAAGTTGCCTCGGTTGAACTTGTTGGCCGGATCCATCCCTTTCCTTCTGGCTCCTGTAAAATCTCCCGGAAAGGCAAAAACAGGCAAACAGCAGCAGTTTGTTTCATTTTGATCTTGTAGCTTTGACATGATTCATTGAAAATAAATGCTGCATCTTTAAGGATTTGCCTGCAGCTAAATAAGGGTGTGCTAGCTCCACCCTGCTGCTTTGTTAGGGAAGAGGGCTTTTATTTTCTGGGGTGGGTTGCTTTTTTTTTTTCCCTTTGATGAATCTCAACCATGAAATAAGAAGAGGTTTAAAGCCATGGCCCTTGAAAACACAAGGCACTTATCTGCCTACGTGTCATCTCACCCATGAAGAGATGAAGGACTTGGACTCAATGGAAACCAAAGCTTCCCCCTTCATGTAAGTGTGCTGTTGCCTCATCTGGTGCTTAGGCAGGTAGTAGAGAGGAGAGCTTCACAGGTAAGGTTGCTGTTTTTATAATGTCTCTCTCCAAAGATCCTGGCCTGATGTTACTTAGCTGTAGCAATGAAGGGGCACATGAGGTACAGCTGTGCTGCAGCTAGACACCAGTTCACAGGTGAGTAGTTTTGGGTGGATGTCTCTGTTTTAATTGGAGGTCTTTTAAGTGAGAACTGTATGTGCTGGTGAAAGCAAAAAGGAACATATTTTCCATCAGGACATCGAATGGCCTAGCCAGTCCAGTCTTGGTTTAGCCTATTGCTTTCTGTTCCAGAAAGAGCAGTTGAGTTCCCCCTTCCTTGTTCATGAAGCTATGTTTTTGGTGCATTAGCTGTCTTTTCAAAGCTAAAGCCTCAGCTTCTGGGCATCCACCTGTTTTTTATACAGCTGTGAAAGGTCTGAGCTCTTGTTCCTTTTCTGCAGAATGGATTTCTTGCGGCAGTCCAAAAGAAACTGCAGGACTACATACTAAAAAAGGGGCAGAAAAACCACATGCTGTGCTATTTTGGTAGTAGCAAATTATGCCTTCTACAAATTACCGTTGGTTATGAACACAGTGCGTCTGTCTGTAAACGTATAACAATGGTTTGCCTTCAGCTGGCCACTAATACATTTAAAGTTAGAATAATACCAGTTGAAATCCAGAGCGTCTCCTCCTTTCTGAGCTCTGATTTATTCCTACCAGCAAATGTCAGACTTAATTATACAGCTATAAAACTTATACTTCACAGACTGTTAGGCATCTTATTAGAAGAGACCTGGACTTATTAGAAAAAGACTTTAGCTGGTTCTTTAAATAGCTTAGGAACTTTTAACTCCCTACTTATAGTTTCTTTCCCTCTTACTGATTTTGCTTAGTCCTAAAAAATTATAATTGACCCATTAAGACATTGGTAGCAGGGAGGCTGCAAAACATGTCGAAACTGAGAATCTGCAGGCTGTTTATTCTGAAAGACATGAATATCAACCCAGAGACACTGCATGGAGGCACTCAGAAACTGTGGTGGGGAGCATGGTATAAATACCTTGAGCGAGAGATTAGACTAGATTAGATTAGATTAGATGTGGAAATTGGCTCCACCTATAACATTACAAATAGACTGGAACATTTTGATACATGACAAGATATCCATCAGCTGTAATAAAAAGCAGTAATTTGGTTTGCACTTTTTTTTTTCCTACCTCCTCTGCTTCAGAGGCCAAGTAAAACTCAAAGACACGTTCGTTCCCTGCCCCTCTCTCTTTTAACACATATATCCACGTCCCCTGTTACAGTGGGATAGCAAATCTAGCATACCACACATTTGAGTTCATGTTCAGGCTGGAATATTGAAGCAATTTCAAACAGCAGCTTTCAATCTTAACTTTCATTGAGGGACTTCCTGCCTCCCCTTGTTGCCTCGTTGGTCCATCTAGTCTGCTTTGCAGTTTCTACTGCCCATCAAACGATGTTCGGTTGGCCAGAGCAAAATGCTTCAGAAGATGTGGCCTGATGCCACATAATGGACAATTCTGCAATAGCATCTAAAAGTTTCTTCCTAAGCTTCAGGCTGTGAGTCTGAAACATAAGTAGCAGTGCTTAACTATAAAATGCAGTGTCCCTTGGGCTCTTCTTTGTACTTCTGACTCAACCTGAGATGTTTTTTTCCCCCCATAGTGCTCAGGAAATGGTATAAACAGTGGTGCACAAGGTGTTCAGCTGTAGATCAACTTCCTCTTATACTTGGGGTTTGCTGTGAGGTACACAGCTGCAAGCTAAGGCCTGCGGTTTTTGAAGAGACAATGAGACATCTCTAGACCAAGCAACTCCCACGGACTTCAGATGAAGCTGTGGGAGGTCAGCATTTTTGGGAATGGGGCTGTAGGTGTTTCAAGAAGCTAGTTAAAAAATGGAGACCGCCTGAAAATGAACGACCTCTTTGGAAATGTAGTCCTGGAATTGGACTGGGCAGAAAATGAGGGTTGGAAGGGACCTCCGGTGGTCGCATCTAGTCCAACCCCTGCTCAAAGCAGGACCAGCCAGGGCAAGATTGAAAATCAATCTCTCTTGAATATAAGGAGGTTATTTGGGAGTGCTGAGTATTTTTCTTGTCTAGCTGCCTTTAACAGAGACCACTATCATTGTAGTAAGCACAACCATCCAGACTTTACGTCTTAGATATATTTGCTAATAATATGCCTCTCTCCTGATTCCATCTCCCTATGCGCCATAATCAAGAAACGTTTCCCGTTATGAGGAACCTTTGGAGATTTTGAAAAATTTTCCTATGAGGAACCGGGATAAAAGATTTGGTTAGGCATCTGGCTGGGGTCATCTGCCCCAGCACTCTTTGCTGCTTGGGCAGGGGGTTGGACTCCATGATCTGTTGAGGTCCCTTCCAACCCTAGCATCTATGAATCGTTTGTTTTTTTTAAATTAAAAAAAATTTTGTTTGCCCAACTCACAGCTGAAGAACATTCAAGTTTGAGTCAGATGGCACATTTTGTCTTGTTTTTAACTTTTAAAATATTTTTCTGTAAGTTGTCTTAAATTGGGAAACCAAAATCTATTTTGAAGTGATTAATGGAATTGTTCATTACAAAAGTGTCAAAATGTGGCACTTTTGACAATTACCAAATATTTTCTTTCCTTGCCCCCTTCCCCCCCCCCCAAAAAAAAAATTAAAGGTTTGTTTGAACCAGTTTTCCCTGTGAAATGTTTTGGTTTTGGACAGATCAGCATTTTTATACAGAAAAACGTTTCTCTGAAGAATTCCTGTCCGCCCCCAGTCTAAATGGCGTCACTCACCCCTCTGCTTAGCTTTCTATTTCAAACGGTCCATCGTTTTTATATTAAAAAAAAAGTATAGGTAACGATAGCTGTGACAATATGACTGTTAAATCCTGAGCCATGAAAAAATGGTCTAAAAAACTCTGTCTAACCAAGCTCCTCCTTTTATGCACTTCATTTTATTTATTTTGTTTGAATAGATGCAGATGCAAGAACATCCCACCAGCTTTATCCTGGTCAGCAGTTAGGAACACTGGTCTTTTCAAACCCCAAATGTTCCCCTGTCCCTCCAGCCTTGGCACCAGGTCCCTCCAGCCAGGGTCCCAGGTCTTCATACCCTTAGGCACATTTACTAGGGTGCATCCACACCACAATCCTGCCTCTGTTAAGACATATAACCTACCAACCACTGCTGCCGCAAACCTGGCAGGCCCCCCTCCTCTGCCACCTCTCTCGAGCTCTCTGCCTCTAATGTGCTTGGGAACAGGGGTGGAGGATGCTGTCTGCTTCGTTTCCAAGTTTGAGGTATGTGGGGCCAGCGTGGGTGGGTTGGGCTGTATTTCTTGCTAGTACACTCAGTGTTGCTGCGGAAGTGCTATAGATACATCAACCTCAAACTCCAGTGGGTCTAGTTGCATGTCTGAAATTAAGTGCATGCATTAAGTGTTTGCAGGGTTGGAGGATTGGGGGATGCAATAAAATAAATATTTATTACCTGTATTCTGTGTGTGTGTGAATTTGTACACTCTTACACTCACACACATGCATAAATCTTAAGAGGGAGAAGGCTTAGAGCGATCATCCTGTAAGGAAAAGTGGAGAGTTTAGCTGCTGGCAGGCATAATCTACATAAATTATAATGCGGTTTACTCCTACTTCTATGCAGCCTGCTGCACTGCTCTGTTTGAAACATGTTTATATTCTGTTTGCATGAAAGGCAAGTGTTGGCTAATGTATCGGTGCTCATGAGAGGCTGCCGGGACACGTGCAAGGTATATCGTAGAATTATAGAGAAGTAGGCTTGGAAAGGATGCCCAGAGGTCACCTAATCCAACCCTCTGCCTGAGACAAGGTCGTTCCTGTCCAAACCACCCAATACAAATCTATTGTCTAACCTTGTAGCAAAACTACACAGTCAACCCTGACACAACATAAGACATAACATGCTAGCCTGACACAGGTAACACAGCCGGGGCAATGTCCTGCTGCGCTTGAAATGCACTTGAGACATCCAAGAGGGCCATGCCCACCAGTACGGGGCAGGCAAAACTCCCCCAGTCTGTGACAGGCTGATCATGGAGTAAAATTTCTTCCTGACCCCAGATACGGCCATTGGTCTGACCCTGAGCAGAGCGGCAGGACCCTTTAGCCAGGAGCTTCCAGGTTTCAGTGCCAGCAGGAGCATGGGCACACCCAGTCAAAATCCCCAGTCTTGATGGCAGCGAACACCCACCCAGTGGCTCTGAGGAAGGTAAAAATAAATAAATGTGTCACCCTGGGCGTGACACTACCTCTGCCCTCACGTGTATAGCAGGATCTTCAGGAACCCGGTAGCCAGTGGCCCTGCTCAGCTCCCTGGGTAGCTGCTGCAGGGCCCCCGAGCGAAGAGCCTCCCCTTACAATCAAACAACCTTTCAGACCATTATAAAACTACTAGACAATTGCCCGTCAAGAATGACTGGGTGGGGGACAGCGGCCTGTGTCCGGGCCCCCCTTGCTCGGCCCTCACCTTCGGGCTCCCTCGTTCCTCCCCTCTGCCATGGGTCTAGGCCCACCCTCCCTGCACCCTGCCTGCCCACTGCCATTTTGGGGGCCGGGCCCACCCCCTCCACCATTGCGAGGATGGGCCCAGTGCGCCCCCCCATCACCATTGTGGGGCTGGTCTTGGCCTGGAGCGCCCCCCGCGGCCTGTTGCCATTTCAGGGCTGGTCCCACCCCTCCTGCCCCACTGTTGTGGGTGCTGACGCCATGGGTCCAACACTGTTC